ATAGGTCCTCTTTAACTGTCTGGGAGAATTTGCTAGTGAACCTATCTGGGCCTGGGCTTTTGTTTTTGGGAAGACTTTTGATTGCTGTTTCAATTTCCCTGATAGTAACAGGTCGTCTATTCAGGCATTCCAGATCTTCTTGGTGGACTGAGCATTTCTTGAAGTGGTTTAAATCTTCAAGCCCCTGGGGCACCCCTCAGGCTCACCCCTTTAAAAGAAAACATGGTGGTGGAAAGACAGCTCTGGAGGAAAGGGACTTGCCTTGAATGCAGCAGACCTGGGTTCAATCTCCAGCATCATATATGGTCTCCCAAATACCGCCAAGTGATTCCTGAGCACAGGGCCAGAAGCAAGTCCAAGCACGGGTGTGGCCCAAAAACAAAAACAGAGGAAGAAAGAAATTGAGAGGGCCAGAAGATGAGAAAGGAAAGGAAAGGCGGGAGTAGAGGCCAGGGGCCTCAGGTACAGTTGCAAAGTGGGGGAATGGCATAACTGTAGATCAAAATCACAGTCAACAACACTGAAAACATGAGATCCAAACTGCAACCCCCAAGCTCTAATGTGCCTGTCAAGGTTGCATGCTAGAGGGGGGTTGGGAGGGAGCTTGGGAACGCTGGTAGAAGGAAGTTGACACTGGTGGTGGGAATGGTGCTAGATCATTATACATCTAAAACTCAGCTATGGGGGCTGGAGCGATAGCACAGCGGGGAGGGCGTTTGCCTTGCACGTGGCCGACCCGGGTTCAATTCCCAGCATCCCATATGGTCCCCTGAGCACCACCAGGAGTAACTCCTGAGTGCAGAGCCAGGAGTAACCCCTGTGTATTGCCGGGTGTGACCACCCCTCCCAAAAAAAATAAATAAAAATAAAAAAATTTTAAAAAACTCAGCTATGGTTACCTTTATAAATCACAATTCTTGAATAAAAGAAAAGAAAAAAATCTACCCTCTATTTCTCTAATATCTCCCCTCTATTCTTCTGTGTCAACATGTGTTGCTTTCACTGGGGAAGCTATTTTTTTTTCAGTTTTTATTTTATTTACACCACCATGCTGAGACCACTCTCCGCACACATGAAGGTACTGGCAGAGGAACAAAGGCTTGTGGGTCCCAGGACTGAGATCTCCAAGCCTACTCGGATCCGGGTTGAGCATCCTCCACCCAGATCCTCCAAATTCCAGTAGGCGGGGGTCACACCCACCAACTGGCCCCCTGGCACCGTGTAATCCCATCAACGGCCAAGACTCAGAGACTATAAAACCCAGCTCCCGGAAGCATTCGCAGCCGCATTTGCGGCCACGCGACATCTTATTATCTCATTCCTACTTTGGACAAACTGACAGGCTACCGAATGTAACCTGCCCACACGGCAGAGTCTGGCAAACTCCCCGTGGCGTACCCAATATGCCAAATACCAGTAACAATGATGGGTCTCACTCTTGTAACGCTGAAAGAGCCTTGAATATGGCACTTTTTTAAAAATCTCAGGGCTAGGACGAAGGAGACGTTACTGGGGCCTGCTTGAGGTCATCGATTTTATTTACAGAATGCTAAAATTTGCCCATCCCTTTGGGCAGCAGTGGTAGAGCAGCAGGAAGGGCTCTTGCTTTGCATGCAGCAACCCATATAGTCACTGACGCCCACCAGAAGTGACCCCGAAGCGCAGAGCCAGGAGTAAGCCCTGAGCACCACCTGGTGTGGTCCAAAAACAAAATAAATAAATCCTATCCAAGGCTTCCCACCCTACCCCTCCCTGGCTCCCTCTTCCCGTTCCTTGGTAAACTCACTTCTGTGGTCATAGTCGAAGGGGTTATTTTTGTTCTCTCTTGTCCCTTCTCTTGCTTTGTTTCTTGATATGCCACAAATGAGTGAGATTATCTGGTACTTGTCTTTCCGCCTTTGGATTATTTCATTTACACGTTGACCTCTAGTTCCGCCCCAGTTATAGCAATAAAGGTAGGATTTCATCTTTTCTAATAGCTAAGGAGTATCACGTTGTGCCACTTGTCTGATGTTAGGTGCTTGGGTTACTTCCAGATCTTGACTATTGTAAATAGCGCTGGAACAAACATAGGTTAACATTTTTCTCCAAACTAACCTTTTTCTGTTCTCAGGGTACATGTCAAAGGAGTGGAATCAGTGGGTTATATGCTAGTTCTATTTTTAATCTTTGAGAAATCTTCAGTTTTCCATAGAGATTTAGCCTGTTTCCATTTCCACCGAGAGTGAATGGGCGCTCATTGTTCAAAACATCCCCACCAACACTGCTTGTTTCTGGCCTTTTTTTGGGAGGTGGGGGGATGGCAGGTAGGGATGCTTGTGGCCACAACCAGCCCTGCTCAGGGATCATGGAGGACCATAGGTAGTGCCGGGGACTGAACTAGGAAGATGTGCAATACAAGTGTCTTCCTCACCCCTACCCAAACCCTGCGCTTTCTCCAACACAAGTGTCTTCCTCACCCCTACCCAAACCCTGCGCTTTCTCCAGGCCAATAGAGACCATTCTCACTGATATGATACGGTGTCTTATTGTCATTTTAATTTTCTTTTCCCTGATAAGTGCTAATAAACACTTTTCCATATGCCTGCTGGCCATCCATATGTCTTCTTCAAAGAAGTGTCTATTCAGCTCCTTTTCCTTTTTGGTTTTATTTAATTTGTAGTTTTCTGTGAATGCTTACTATATCTTAGATATCAGCCTTTGTTGGGTGTAAGGTGTGCAAATATTCCTCCCAATTAGTAGAATGTATATTTGATCTGTTTCATCTTTCACAGTGCAAAACTTTCTAATTTTGATGTAGTCCTATTTATTTCTTCTTTTGCTTTATTTGCCAATCGAATCAAATTACAGAAGGTGCCTCTGAAGTGAATTTTATGGAGAATTCTGCCAATGTTCTCCTCAATGTGTTTTATGGAGTCAGTTCTAATATTGAGGTCTTTAATTCCTTTTGAATTGGCTTTGTATATGATGTGAGATAGGGATCTGGATTCATTTATTTTTACACATGGCTAACCAGTTTCATTTGTTCAAGAGGATTTCCTGGCTCCACTTACTGCTCCTAACTCCTTTGTCATAAATTAAGTGACCATACATCTGAGGGCTTATTTTTGGATCCTCAGTCCTATTCCTTTGATTCGAAAGTCTGTTTTTCTTCTGGGAAAAGTTAATTTTAAGCAGTTCCACATGCAAACAGAAGAGGAATTTCTGACTGGAGAGGCAGCACAGCAGGTAGGGTGGTTGTGTCACACGCAGCCAACCAGGTTTGATCCCCAGCATTCCGTACAGTTCCCAGAGCCCACCATGGGGCAGAGCCAGGAGTAAGTGCTGAGTACCACTGGGTGGGACCCCAAAACAAGACAAACAAACAAAAATATAAAATCAATGCGCCAGGATGGTGGTTCAGTGCTAGTGTGCTTGCTCTGCGTGTGCAAGGCCCTTGCTTCCATCCTCAGCACTGCAAAGCATATAAAAATAACTGTGAGAATATAATTTCCTTTCCATAGTAAGAAAGCACAGTTCGCTAAAAGGAAGTAGGATCCTCCATTGCCTCTACTCTAAAAAGGAAACAATCGTTGTGCAGAGAAATCTGTGTATTGATTATGGGTACAGGATTTCTAAAGCGTTGAAGTCTTGGTCTTGAGAAGTAAAAACCAAACACACAAAACAACTAGGCACATGACCCGAATAAGCACCACAACCAGGTATTCATACTCCACAACCAAGTGTGCTACCTCCAGCCTTCACAGCCGAGAAAAAAGAGAGAAGAAAATAATAATAATCAAAAACAGTGCTCAAATTGCTTTAATGCAGGCTGCATGGCTTTGCTGGAAATTAGTAATTGCTTCCCCTTTATCCTACGAGTATGGACATAACTCTAATCAACCCGCTAATTATATGAACCCATTCTAACACTCCAGACCTATGAAACGTTTTTGATTTGTTGCTCTGCTCTTCTCCGGCCGTAGAGGCCCAGGAGTGATGGATGGGAGCCACTGGGGTTAACTAAATCCAGTTTGGTGCTATCTGGAATGCCCCAGGCTTTGTGACACTTGAAATTCTAATGAATGCAGAAAAGGGCTTAGTTAAAACAGCTGTATTCCCTCAAGTATGCCTATTCACAGGGCCCTCCAACCTAATGAAGTCTATGAAATGTAAGATCTAGAAGAGAAATCCCCGCCTCAGGCAACGGCTGTACCCGGTATGACAAGGGGGTTGGGGTTCAGTTGGTCCCCGTAGATGGGAGAGGGCACCCCCAAATGCTTTGGGAGTGAAACCCATGTGACTGTCGTCCAATAAGATGCCCTGTGTGCTCAAACTGACCTATACCCTTGACTCTGTATTCTGGTGGTAGGAGAGAAGAAACAGGAGGGGTCCAGATTCGATCCCTGAAAGAACTTCTTAGCCCTGACACAAGGGGTACGGGAACAAACGGGAGATTTGGCTGCGGGGACCATCTCTCAGGAGCCCTCCCTCCGTGCCCCTGTGAGCAGCAGCATTGGGGGCCGAGAGAGAGAGACTCAGTGACTCCTGTGTTCAGTGAGTCCCCAGCAAAGTAAAAGAGGGGTTCCTTTGCTCCTACTTTGCAGCTGGAGCAGGCTGGATGTTTGCTGAACACATTTGGAAAAGGAAGAGAGGAGATAATAGTCCTAATGAATGTGCGGGAGACAATAGCAGCTCCAGTGGGAGGATTATAAGCTCATTATGGTTTAATATGATGATTGATCATCTCTGCCCGCCAGCATTATCCTAGAATAGTGATGAAGGTCGGAGGGACCCATGCCAGTCAGAGCTCAAGCTCAACTCATCAGAGAACAGAAAACAAACTTCCGTGGCATTCATTTCGTTCATTATTAAAATTCAGACTCGTGGCCCCAACATTCTGACTTTTTCTGTAAGTTGTTTTCCCTCCCATCATTCCATAGCCCCCATCCTGCCCCCTCCCCACAAGGCCTGCCCCACGACTGACCTCTCAGCCCTGCACTGCTCATTCCTCTGTGCGCCTGTTTCTTCTAACTCCTAACATAGAGACCCCATCCCATCCCCGTCCCTGGGAAATGGCCACAGCATGGAGTGTGGCATGGCTTTAGGGCAGGTCCAAAGGGCCCTTCAGTGGGTACCGGCTGACACTCGGTTCAGGTAGAAGGCTCGGGATACTTCCCGATAGGCATTTCGTAGCAAGACATAAGGGAAGCAGGACTCCAGCATATCCAGGGTCAGGAAGGAGGACTCCTCCACCACCTGGAAGCAAAGAGAGGAGAATCTCAGGTGGGACAAATGACTACCTTCTTCGGTGACGCCTGTTCCTCTTCAGTCAGGTCCCCGCGTCCTCTGAGGGTCTCCGCGTTACAAGCACACAGGTTCCAAATCCACACTTCCTCTCTCCCCTCACTTGGTTTGTCCTTAGGAAAGCAAAGTGGCCCCTTCTACTATTATAGCTCTGTTAGAATCTCCTCCCCACCCCGCCCGCCCCCCCATCCCCTGCACAAGGTCAGAAAAGGTCTCCGAAGCAAAAGACAGGTCCAATCCCTTCCCTAGCGGCAATAAGACTCCTGATCCCGTTGCAGATACGAAATCATCTGTGGCTGGGTAGCGCAGAAGCAGGAAGGACTGAGGAAAACATCCGTGACAAAGCTATGCAGAGAAGGAAACGATCACCACTGCAGGCCAAGGAGGAGAGGCCTGGAATCCACACGGGTCCTCTTGTGCCGGGCGTCAGTCTCCTCTCTCCCTCAGCACAGAGCTTGGGGAACAGTAAAGAAGCCGCCTCAAGGAGCAGGCAAGATTAATTAGTTTAATTAGAAGCCTGTGTGCCGTGGCAATCCCAGCACCCCCACAGTCAAGCAGAAAGATAGATCAAGGTGCCTGGATGAGACTGGGGGAGGGGGGCGCTCCGGGGCGAAGGGTACGAATCCAGCAAGAGCAGCACAACTTAGTGTTGGGCTGAAGGAACCCAACCCGAGGAAGGAACAGAGTGTTCGGCCTTCAAACTCTCCAGATCTAGGAGGTCTTGGGACTAGCGAACATACTGTGAAAAGCAGTGCCCACATCCCATCCTCTGCAGTTCACACAGATGGGACCTCTCCCAAATGCCTGGTGATTTCAAATCCTGCAAATCCAGTCAGGAAGGAGAATCGACCACGGCTGCTCTCACACGCGTCTCTCCCTGAAATCCTTTCAAGTTTGAAAACGTGGAAGATTCTGCTGTTCTCAAACACATGCTCACGCAAAGCACCACAACAGCCTTAGCAGAGCAGATGCTGCCGCCGAACGAAGAGAAACAGAGGAGTAACACTGTGGCCTTGGATCTCCGCTGCCTAGCAAGGAATTCTTGCCAGGAGAGACTTTTAAACCTTAAGCTCATGTCTGCTCTGGGTGCGGGAAGTGAGTGATGACTTGGAGATGGAACCACTGGCCCACGAACTCCAATTCTTTGCTCCACTCTCCATGGAAAATGAAAGGGCTCAAAAATGGTGAGAGTGTGTAGGAGTAAAAATATCCCTAGAGTGAAGGCCAAGAGGTTTGGGCTCTGTTGCCTAATACGTCTGCCCGTATATTTGCAGGGAGACCTTGAGTATCATCTCAAGGTCCCTCCCTCTCCTCCATCTCCTCATCCGTGAATTGTAAAGGCTGGACTAATGGCCAGGGTGACGCGGTTCTGACACCTAGGAGCCCACGAAGGAAGAGCAGCATCTCTTCCTTAAGAAATCAATCCATGCCAGGAGCAGGCTGCCAACCCCCGGGGGTGGGTGCTGCCCAAGCTTCACTGTCAAGACAGAAGACCTGGGGAAGAGGTGCCTGGCAAGAGCGGGGGGTGACATAAGTCGACTCTCAACTCAGCACACAGTTCCTTCCCTGTTCAGTCATTTCCAATTTCTCTCTGGAAACATTTGCATTTAAATTGCTCTGCAGCAGCTAGGCCCTCTGTCTCACTCGCTAAAGTGCCTGGTGCTGGCTCTCTGCCTGTGCCTGCAGGCTTCAGGGAGCTGCCACAGGGGCAGACCGCTTCCCACAAGTTGACGGCAGCGGGGCAACGGGGAAGCAGAAGGAGACAGGACTGAGCGGCAACGCAGGATCACCTGCTCTCTTGCAGAGTGAAGTCTGCCCAAAGCAATGAAGGACAGGCCTACACCATCCCAAACGTAACATGAGTGGCCACTTTGCAAACCCCAGCACCCAAAAGGAGAGAGAGAACAAGAGGGAATGCCCTGCCACAGAGGCAGCGTGGGACAGGGGAATGGGGGTGGGGGTGGGGGGCTACTGGGACCCGTGGTGGTGGAGAATGGGCACTGGTGGAGGGATGGGTACTCGATCAGTGTATAACTGAAACCCAAGCACAAAAGCGTGTAATGTCCGTAACTGCACCTCATGGTGTTTCACTAATAAAAATTTAAAAAATAGATAAATAAAAATAATAAAATGAGTGGCCACAAGAACTAACAATTGTTGAGCAGCTATTAGTGACTAGCACCTTCACATCGATTCTCTCACGAATCCTGTTCACGCTAACAAAAAGATTACAGCTGACTTTCATGGATGATGAATCTGTCTCAGAAAAGTTAATTAACTTTTCCAAGGTTGTGTTACGCCAAAGATTGTGCTCCTCCTGATACACTAATGGCATTTGCCCTCACTCTGCTATCTTACTCCGCAACACACACACACACACACACACACACACACACACACATTATTTTTCTCCACCATAAACCTTAATTGAATCAATCTCGTTATTTTTCTAGCTGGGTAAAATGAGATAGAAGATACCACTAAGGACCGAGGCTTATAAAGAAGGAGCAGGGAGAATCTCGCTGTACTTGCCATTAACATTTGAGGGTCTGGATCAAGATTGCGAATGAACTCCCACCAGCCCTGTTGCTCAATAAGTAAAATGACCCCATGGTGCTGTATCGTGCAAGCTTTGCAACATACCTTTATAATTTTGTGGGAGGCCAGAGATTAGAAATCCTTGGACCGGAGTAATAGCACAGTGGGTAGGGCATTTGCCTTGCGCACAGACAACCGGCCTTTAACCCTACCACCCCATATGGTCACCCTGAGCACTGCCAGGAGTAACCACTGTCAGGAGTGCAGCCTCCTCCACAAAAAAAGAAAAGAAAAGAAAATTCTTGGGGCTGGAGCAATAGCACAGTGGGTAGGGCGTTTGCCTTTCACGAGGCTGACCCGGGTTTGATTTCCAGCATCCCATATGGTCCCCCGAGCACCGCCAGGAGTGATTCCTGAGTGCAGAGCCGGGAGTAACCCCTGTGCATCGCGCCGGGTGTGACCCAAAAAGCACACACACAAAAAAATAAAGAAAATTCTTAAGCTTCTTTTTGAGTTCTACACAAGAACAGAGTGAAGGGAGGGACTGAACCTGCAGGCTGATCTCCCTTCTCTTCCCAGCCCCAGTTTGACAGGCTTTTATAAACACAGACTTCCAAGTTAAACAGCTAAACTCAAACCATGCATTCCTGGGGCACCCGAGGTCTGTACACCAGCAGTACCAGCAACCTCAGAATGGACTTGGGAGAGAAGGTCTATTTCATCACCACAAATGAGATGAAGTTGATTAACAGAGAGTTCTGAGGTCCCAGAGTTCGACACCTGGGGCAGGAGTGAAGGTGTATGTGGGGGGGGGGGGGGGCGAGGGGGACTCAAGGTGGCTCTGGCTCCAGGCCAGCATCTCTACTGCACAGAGGAGGGTCTCTGAAACACGGGGCACCAGGTGGGAGCTCTCAGTCCAAGTGTAGTGCGACTCCAGAGAATCAGACCTTAGATCAAGAGTCCGTACACGTTCAAGAGGGAAACATGAGAAAATACATTTTTTAAATGAACTGAGTCAGAGTTCCCAGAACTTTCTGCCAGAGGAGGGAAAAGCCCACAGCTTGGAGGGGGGAGGGGGGCCTGTGGAGTGGGGGGTGTTGGGGAGAAGAAGAGCAGAGAGAGAGAGAAGAATTTGCCTGATTCATTTGGCAACTGCCAAGGTCCACCTGGCTCTCTACCTCCCCATTTTTTGGGCCAAATTCCCTTCCCTCTCTCTTTATTCCTACACCCCTCCCCAAGTTCAGTTTTGTACTATTCACTATCTTCTTCACAGCGATCTTTTTTTGTATGTTCACTCAGAAGGTCTGGGGGCGCTTCCTGGTAATTCTCAGTCAATTTGGCCCGCAGTTTAATGCAAGGGCTGGAAGATGCAGTGCTGCTTGAGGCCCTGCCGTGCCAGGGCTTATCAGGGCCACCCCAGGATTGCTTAGGGGTCTCCAGAACTGCACCCAGAAAAGCTCAAGGACCATGTGGTGTAAGGGATCAAGACAGGGTAAGTCAAGCTCTTTAAACCCCTGACTATCTCTCTGATGCCAGCAGTACTCATTTTGGGGAGGATGGCCTCCCAAGTCATGTCCAGGGGGCTGCTGAGGCCACGCCCAGTAACTTGGCCCATCTGGTCCAACAGTTCAGTACTAGGATCTAAGGATGTGCTGCTGCGTGTTGCTGGGGACCTGCAGAGACACCCCTGAGGAGCTCAGAGTTATCCCTCTGGTATTCAGGGTCATACTGTGCTGAGACTCTAACTGGGGTCTCAAGTGTGCAAAATATGCACCATTAGTCCCTGGGCACTGCCCCTGGCACCTCCAAAGTACTTTTATCTTTTTTTTTCATTTTTGGTCACACCCGGCAATGCACAGGGGTTCCTCCTGGCTCGTGCACTCAGGAATTATTCCTGGCGGTGCTCGGGGTACCCTATGGGATGCTGGGAATCGAACCCGGGTTGTGCAAGGCAAACACCCTACCCACTGTGCTATCGCTCCAGCCCTCTCCACGGTACTTTTAAAGTTAAGAAAGACTGTGTTAGGAGGTCAAGAAAAAGCAAATACATTCTGAACAGGTAGGAATGGAGGAGGATCCCTGCCTCTGAGGTCAGACTGAGGACACTGGAGGAAAGGGGACCGAAGTGGGCAGCTCAGGGTCAGCAAGGCTCAGCCTACAAAGAGGACCTTGAAGATTGGTATTCCAGGATGTTAACAGAGTTCGGAAATGTTGCCCAGAATGTGAGGAATAGACGCGGGGCGGGGCAGAGCCAGGCTCCTCATGTCTTTGGAAGATAACAGCAGCAGGAACCCAAAGCTGCTCAGGAAGATTCTCCCTCTGGTCCTTCCTCTCCTTTTACCAGACCGACATAAATCCGATACATACCAAGCGCATGAGCAGAGAAATGGATTCCCGATTTCTGGTTTTAAGCTTGTCGGTCTCCTGGCCCAGCTGCAGGAGGCTGACGGAGGCCACCTGTGAAGGAAGAATCTGTTAGGCGGCAGATTTTTATGGAGGTCAGAGTAGGACAGCCTCAGGATACAGGAAGTTAAGAAAAGATCAAGGAAGAGAACGAAGGGCTGTGATGTTCCCAGAGGGAGACTCAGGATGGAAAAAATGGCAGATATCAGGCTTCAGAAACACACGCTGCCTGTGACCCAGCCTACGAGGCAACGGGAGGCTGCAAGGGGCCAGGAAGAACCTCAACAAAGCAAGTGACACTGGATGCCCAGAGATTTTTCTTCCCTCGCAGCAGCCTCCAGACAACGCTGTCATCAGGCTGTTTAATATTGACAGAGTGTTCTTGGTTTTCTCCTTTTGTCAACTCCCAAATGGTTGTCCTCTGTGCTCACCTCCAATCTCCGGAGAGATCAAAGAGAGGGATGAATGAAACATGATTAATTGAATCCAAAGGCCCAAGTTACGTGCAGCTAGCAAACCAAGAGGGGAGAATTCCCTCCTGGAAGTTCCGGGGTGAATCCTCTCTACATCGAAGATGCTCGGAGGCTATTCCATCTATCTGTTTTCCCCACAATGTCACGAGACGCCCTCTGGAACCCAGAGGAAGAATAGCACAGTGTCACAGATCACCTGCCCCAAAAGAGCACGGTCATGAGTTCAAATGTCCAATGTGCCACATGCACTACTGAGATCCTGGAATCTCTTCTCTCTGCTATCCCTGCACTAAAAACAATTTCTAGCCACTCCTCATCACACATGCCTCCACTGAGTGTGACCCCAGGGAGTACAAGTATAAACATCACAACTAAAGGAATACACACACTTCAGTGAGCAACCGCCACTGAGTGTGTGAGCACCACAACTCAATGTGCAACTCACAGCAAGCATCGCAGCTAAGAGTGTGCAACCACTCGAGCCAGAGAGCCAGCCACAAGGGTGTCGGATATTAAGCCTAACTCTTTCAGACTACACCAGTGAATTGACCGTTTTCGCCCCCCCAAAGAAGCTTATAGTGCTCTTATGAGCACTCCAAATCCTCTGAATTTACCTTTAACCGTTCCTTTGTCTTTACCTCTCATTGTCACAATTCTCCAAGTCAGGGTTGGTTACTTTATGAGTTGGCTTATAGCCAACCAGTCTGGTAAGTCTGGACTCTGTGTCTATAGTTAATTACTTCTTTTCTATTTCCCCTATAACTTTTCATATTTTACTGTAGAGCAATGTTCTTTGCTTAAACTCAGAAAGACCGTTAATACAATGGTCCTGATATTTGGGAAATATATCTGAAATATATCTACCTGTGGACATCCATCATTCTTGGCCCAGGCTTCAGTTGCTGCAGTTCCTAACACCCCACAAAGGGAGGTCCCGCTGGGACTGGGATGAACCTGGGGCAAGCGGCGAAGCTACCCTGGCATCAAAATGGGACAGTCTAGACAGCATAAAAGCACGGGCTTGATGCAGTCCATTATGACCTAAGAAACAGAACCCCCATGAGGGAGGACAAGCTGAACCGACCTGAGGACTTAGTCTGGGATTTATAGTTAAAGCCTTGCTTGCCCTCAGAGCCCAGAGAACTACAATTTGGAATCATATCTCTGTGTTTACCCAAACAACTGCAAGTATTAATAACAAGTAAACAATTGTTTAATATTTACTAGTAGCTAGGGAAAGAGAAAAGCATTGTAGATGTCCCTGGGAGACAGAGCGTCTCCTTGAATTAGTCCCCACAATAGAATTGCCTCCACCAAAAAGCTTTACCTCTGTAAACGATCAATCACACCTATGTGCAGCCCTATACCTTCAGATGTTCTGTAAATATGCTAACAGCTCTGCATTAAATGGACCATTTTGACCATCAGTCTATGGTTCCCTGTCTCTTTGTTCCTCTGCGGGGGGGGGGACCCCAGACAGGCAGTTTTCAGCCACCAAATGCATGCATCATGCACCCACATTTTGAACTTACACAGGAGTAAGGCACTTGCCTCGCAAGCAGCCAAACTGGATTTAATCCCTAGCCCATATACAATACCCTGTACCCCATCAGAAGTGATCCCTGATCACAAGGCCAGGCCCGAGCATTGTGAGAGATGGCCCCAAATCAGAGGGAATATAATGGAAAGGATAGTTGTTGGAACATTGTGTGGCTTAAAAGCAATCATAAATAGCTTTGTAATTCACTGTGATTCTAAAGAAATCTTTTTAATAAAAAGAAAACAACATACAACGACCACAGCCAAGTGTGTGTGAAATCCCTAATCAACACAACATCAACAATAATGAACGAAGGTAAAATGAGGGAGGGAATATTTTTATGTGTGTTTAAGAAATAAGAGACTCTTCAGAAAGAGAGGGACAGACATAGAAGGACTGCACTCATTTGTGGAGTAGAAAATAACATAACATGAGACTGACACCCAAGGACAGTAGACACAAGGGCCAGGAAGATTGCTCCATAGTTGGAAGCCTGTCTCATGAGCGGGGTGGTGGGGGGTGGGGGTTGGGGGGACAGCTGGAATAGAGAAGGAATCACTAAGAAAATGACGGTTGGAGAAACCAGTCGGGATGGGAGATGTGTGCTGAAAGTAGATAAGGGACCAAACATGATAACCTCTCAGTGTCTGTATTGCAAACCATAATGCCCCAAAATAGAGAGAGACTATGGGGGAAATTGTCTGCATGGAGGCAGGGGGAGGTTGGGAAACAGGGGTATACTGGGGATATTGGTGGTGGAAAATGTGCACTGGTGGAGGGGTGGGTGTTTGATCATTGTGTGATTGTAATTCAAACATGAAAGCTTGTAACTGTATCTCACGGTGATGCAATAAAATAAAAAAAAAAGAGACTCAAGTAAATTTCCAAGTCTCAATATGTACGTCTCAGGACAATGGAAAGATTCCTAAGAGAATCATATGAGCTGTGATTTCTTCTAGAGGAAGGAGCTAGATGAGGCCCCGGTTCTTAAATCAGAGCCACATTTTGCAAAGGAATAAGCTCTCTGTTGCCAGAATGCTCAAGCAGGCAGCAGGTTACGGGCCATGTATCAAAAGTATGTGGATGGGATTCCTCCATGGAGGATTTAGAACCGGAAACTCTGGGGTTTCTTTCCGCAATGGAAAGAGATTAGCTACTGTTTATCCAGAGGCAAAACTAAGATCAATGATTATAGTACAAGGAGACAAACCGTTTTTTGTTTTTTTGTTTTGTTTTGATTTTTGTTTTTGTTTTTGGGTCACACCTGGCGATACACAGGGGTTACTCCTGGCTTTGTACTCAGGAATCACTCCTGGCGGTGCTCAGGGGACCATATGGGATGCTGGGAATCGAATCCGGGTCGGCCGCATGCAAGGCAAATGCCCTACCCACTATGCTATCACTCCAGCCCCAGGACAAACATTTTTAAAAAGTTTTCTAAACAAATTCTTTTCAAACAAATTATATATAACCTGTCGTAGAATCATCTATCTGGTTTATAAGCTCCAATCCCTAGAAATTAGCCTCTACGCCAATGGCTCTAACGTGAGACACCATGATAGGCAGTAACTGCATCACCTGTGAACTTGTTGAGATGCAAATATTCCAGTCCTCCCCCTAAACTGTAGATCAGAAATTTTCCAGGTGGTTCTAAAATACACCGATACTTGAAAATTTAAACAATGTTTGACTTTTTTGTCAGTATTAGAAAGGGCAGTGTCTCTCCAACTTCACTGTGCATCAGATTTCCTGGAGACTTTTATCAAAAACAAAGACCTGGTCTGCATGCAGTAGACCCAGGTTTGAACCTCGGCACCACATTCTACCCAGTTTTGAGCTCCTGACTCCCATGAGCCCACCAGGTGAAACTGTCTCCCGCCTAAAAATAAAAATGAAAAAACAGAGACCTGGACTCAGCGCTTTCTATTCTAACTCAGTGAGAGTAGACAAGAATCAGGAATCTGCATTTTAATACACTTCTTAGGATACTCTAACACACACTGGAAGTGGATCACGGCTTCTCTCTAATCTTTTTATTTAATAATGGGGAAAAGTTGAGGGCTGGAGAGATCAGATAGAATGAAGAGAACTTGCCTTGCACACAGCTGACCCAGGTTCTATCCCTGAAACTCCACTGGCTCCTTGAGCCCACCAGGAGTGATTCCTGAGTGCAGAGCCAGGAACAAGCCTGAGCATTGCCAAGTGTAAAAAGGTAAAAGGTAAAGGCCCTCCCGTTGATCGTCGATTTGCTCGAGCGGGCCCAGTAACGTCTCCATTGGAGACTTTGTTGTTTCTGTGTCTGGCATATCGAATACTCTCGGTAGCTTGCCGGGCTCTCCGAGAGGGGCGGAGGAATCGAACTCGGGTCGGCCATGTTGGCCGCTTGTAAGGCGAACGCCCTACCCGCTGTGCTATCGCTCCGGCCAAGTGTAACCTCCCCAAAACATAATCATAAAAGAGGAGAAAAACAGGCGCTCCAGAGGCGGAGTTCTTCAGAGATCACACAAATTCTTAGAATAAGAAGCTAGAACTCAAGTTTGTTAGGGGGTGGGGGGGAGGAAAAGGGGAGGAAAAGGGGTCAGAGCTATTGAACAACAGTAGTACTATTTGCCTTGCATGCAGCCAACCTGGGTTCGATCCCTAGCACCCCCATCTGGTCCCCCAAACCCCACCAGAAGTGATCCCTGAGCCAAGAATAAATGTGAGCACCTCCAGGTATGACCCCCAAACAAACAAACAGACAAAAAATGGTTGACTTTTAGATCTACGCTCTCTGGGTATTTGGGTGGAGCTATAATAGCAATGGTTCGGGAATTTAATCAGGGTGGGGGAACTCCTGCTTCCTGCTATTTACAAATAAATCAGGGGAGAACAGCAGATTCCCACCTATTCAGCTGTCACTATGAATTTAAGTCGATTCCCAAGAGACTTCCCCGTCTTGAAGTCTAGACACACTTACCACTAGAAATTCCTTGAGGTGAGTCTCGATGTTCTTGTTGTAGAGTGTGAAGAGTGCTGCGGACACCTGGATGATTGCTTTGGTCAAGCAGTGGATGTTGTTGTTGAAACCTTGATTATCGATGAGGCGTGGGAGGGGGACAAAAAGGGGGAAAGTGAGCTAGCTGCCATCCGAGGCCGACCTTCACTGGGACATATTTTTAGAGAAGCGCCACCTTCTCCCTCTTTTTTAATAGGAGCCACACCCAGTAGTATTTTAGAAGCCAATGTGGTGCTGGGATGGAATTTGGGGTTTTGTGTATGCCAAGGGTCTGGAGTGACAGCACAGCGGGTAGGGTGTTTGCCTTGCATGCGGCCGACCTGGGTTCGATTCCTCCACCCCTCTCGGAGAGCCCGGCAAGCTACCCAGAGTATTTCGTCCGCACAGCAGAGCCTGGAAAGCTCCCTGTGGTGTATTTGATATGCCAAAAACAGTAACAAGTCTCACAATGGAGACGTTACAGGTGCCCGCTCAAGCAAATCGATGAACAACGGGAGGACAGTGACAACATACGCCAAGCATGTGCTCAGCGTCACTTGCATACATCCCCGCCCAAGGACCATGCTTTTTGACACCAAACAGTGGTATTTGGGGATCAGGAGAAGGACAGCACTGTAGCACTGTCCTCCCATTGTTCTTCGATTCACTCAAGCGGGCACCAGTAACATCTCCATTGTGAGACTTGTTGTCGCTGTGTTTGGCATATTGAATACATCACGGGGAGCTTGCCAGGCTCTGCCGTGCAGACGGGATGCGCTCGATAGCTTGCCAGGCTCTCCGAGAGGGGCGGAGGAATCAAACCCAGGTCGGCTGCATGCAAGGCAAACGCCCTACCCACTGTGCTATCTCCAGCCCCAGGTGAAGGATATCCCAATGAAATCTGACTGGAATTGAAGTTTATGGAAAATTCACTCTCAAGTGCTTTTGAAAATGGAACTTTGTATCGGAGTCAGAGGTCTTTCCTTCTGTCTCATCTCCTTACTGCAGAGTACTAACCTAAACAGCCCTGGTCCCCTCAAACGTATTCCTTACTTACCATCCTTCTCAATGCTATAGAAAGAAGAAGGGTCGGTGGCAAGCAGGGGGAGGGAAACAGCCAGAAAAATCAAGAGCAGGCAGGCCACCTTGTATTCTTCTTCAGGGGACGATGTATCTGGCAGGAGGGGAAAGGAAAAGAAATTAAGTGAGGGGGTCACCAGCCACAGGGTCCTCCTTCACAGAGTTACTGGAAGATTCACATGAGAAAATGTCTGTGAAAACACTGTAAGGTGTTTTCATGTGAAGTTTTCCATACAAGAAGTACCATGAGTAAGTTACAGCGACTCAAGGGAACAAGACTGGTTCTCACTCACAGTGAGAAGGCTGAGTGTTGGAGGCCTCCTCGAGTGACAGAGCAAAATTCACAGAGGGGTTGACACAGTTCAAGCACTCTGTCAGCTGCCTGCCAGATGGGTCCAGAAGCAGAAAGAGGAGGCAGAGTTTCACCAAAATAAAGACAAAAGAGGAAAGGTACATCTGGCCCGTTTTGAAGGACCGAATAACAGCCTCTTGGTTCCGTTCAATTCCGAGTGCAGGTAAGTACAAAAGGGCTCATCAGAGGAAGTGTATCATGGAAAGTATGAGACAAGCGCGCAAGAAGGGTAAGAAGATGATAGATTCGGGTGATCGTATGGAGGGGAGAGCATGAGACCACTGTGGAAACCTTAGGTGCCATCCCACACAAATTGGCATGAAATCATATACTATTGGATGCTGTTCTCCCATTGTTTGGGTTCTGTTTGGTTGGTTGGTTTTAGGGTCACATCCAGCTGTGCTCAGAGCTCTGTGCTAAAGGATCACACTTGGCAGGGTTGTAGGGGGAACCATATGCAATGCAGGGATCAAACCTGAGTTGGATGAGCACCCACTCAGTTGGGTGAGCACGCAAGGCTTACCTTACCTTACCAAGCCTTACCCACTCTGCTATCTCTCCAACCGTGTTCTCTCATTTTTTCATCTGCATTAATCTTTTCCCCCTCTCAGACAATAAATTCCTTTAAACACAAGCTGAGAATCAAACAGACTCTTGCTTAATAAGTTTAGCTGATATACAGAGGAACTGGTTAGAACCTAACTAGAAAGCTGAATCACCTGTGTAAATATTTTCTGGAGGCTAGGACCTCCTTAGTGACAGCTTATGTCCCCTGAATTCACTATTCCAAATAAAGGGTTTTTTTAAACACTATTATATTCACAGCCAGAAATAGGCTTCCTGGATGCAAAGAGAAAGGGACCCTGATTTATTGCTGGTAAGAATTCTGATTGGTCCAGGCTTTCTAGAATACAATTTGAGCATTCCTCATTTGCCCTCCCGTTGATCGTCAATTTGCTCGAGCGGGCCCAGTAACGTCTCCTTTGGAGACTTTGTTGTTACTGTGTTTGGCATATCGAATACGTCACGGGTGGCTTGCCAGGCTCTGCCCATGCGGGCGAGATACCCTCGGTAGCTTGCCGGGCTCTCCGAGAGGGGTGGAGGAATCGAACTCGGGTAGGCCATGTTGGCTGTGTGCAAGGCAAACGCCCTACCGCTGTGCTATCGCTCCAGACCATTTGGAGCGATAGCACTTGAGCATTCCTCATAAAACTAGAAATTTAGCTTCCATCTGACCCAGTAATACTGCTCCTGAGAATACATCCTAGTGGCCCAAAAACATAATGCAGAAAGGCCATCTTCACTCCCATGTTCATTGCAGTACTACTCACAATAGCCAGAATCTGGAAACAACCCAAGTGTCCAAGAACAGGTGACTGGGTAAAAAAAGATGGCACATCTACACAGTGGAACACTCACAGCTGTTAAGAAAAATGAAGTCATGAAATTTGCTTATATGAGTGAAATGAGTATTCTATGCAAACATAGAATGATTGCATTCATTTTTGGAATACTAAAAAAAAAACATAGTGTGTGAATACCCAAAGACAGTAGAAATAAGGATCAAGAGGATTGGCCTGTGGTAGAAAGCTTGCAAAAAAGGGGGAGGAGGAGTGAAGTTAGGACAGAGAAGGGACCACTATGACAGTGATAGTTGGAACTGATCACTCTGGACAAGAACTGAGTGCTGAAAGGAGGAAAGTAACATGCATGATATGCATGATACCCTTTTTGCATTGCAAACTACAGTGTCTAAAAGGAAAAAGAAGGAGAGAGAGAGAGAGAGCAAAAGGGAATGCCCTGCCACAGAGGCAGGGTGGGATGGGGGTGATGGGGGTGGGAGGGATACTGGGATTAGTGGTGATGGAGAATGGGCACTGGTGGAGGGATGGGTACTCGATCATTGTGTGACTGAAACCCAAGCACAAAAATTTGTGGGTCTACAACTGTACCTCGTGGTGTTTCACTAATAAAAATTAAAATAAAATAAAAGGAAAGGAAAGGGAAAAGGTGCTGTTGAGTCAGGCTGCGGGGTGGGGGCACAGGGCAGGTAGGAGGGGGGAAACTGGAACCATTGGTAGTGGGAAATGTGCACTAGTAAAGGGGCAGGTGTCGGAACATTGTATGACTGAAACTCAATCATGAATAACTTTGTAACTGTATGTCACAGTGATTCAATTAAAAAAATTAGTAGGCTTCCACTGTTCCTTCCCCCCAATCTTACCAGCTTTCAAATTAGCAATGGCGGCCACCAGGGCTGGATCAATGTCACAGCCCACTCCTGCAGCAGATGCCAGCTCAAAGACACTCAAGATCACCTGATGGAGAGGAGAGCAACACTTTGAAGAGGATTCTCAGGAGACAAGTGCTTGGCAGAAGCTACAGATCATCAGGCTCACAGGCCCTCAGGTTTTAAACTGTTGGTGCGCTATTATCTTTTGAGGTTTCCCTTTCACAGCCATCTCGAGCCTACCGTGGAAAGACCTGAATCCATTATCCTGCCATTCATTTATTCATTAGGACCTCAAATGCAGCCAGGGTAATTCAATCTATTCAAACTACGACTTACTTACAAACTTACTTTATTTTTAAATGTATTAGGTTGTCATGATCGTGTTAAATTTTATGGTATAAATACACAAAATTACTGCACCCTACCACCAATGTGTCCATGACACAGTGTCCCCATGTTATCTCTAGGGCGATCTTCTTTTACCACATCTCTCTTCCCATTGTTTGTTTAAAAGTTTTGTAACCCATGGCCAAGACTTTTCCACTTTTTTGTTATTCTCTATTCCCTTGTTTTGCCTCTCTAATGTCCCACAAATGAGTGAGATCATCCAGCTTTTACTCTTAACCCTCTGACTTATTTTCATTAACATGATACCTCCAGTACAATCCACATTATGTAAACTGCACGGTTGTTACCATTCCTATCATTTCTTACAGTTGCATAGTATTCCATTGTGCATATATGCCACAACTTCTTTATCCATTCATCTATCACTGGACATTCGGGTTATTTCCATATCCTGGCTATTATACCAACACTGCTATGAACACAGAAATGGTGTACCTTTGCTAATTAATGTTTTTGTGTTTCGGGAGTAGATGTCAACAAGTGGAATCACAGGTGCTATAGAAGTTCTATTCCTACAATTCTGAGACTTTACCCGACTGTTTTTCATAAAGGCTATACCAGGCAACTTACTTTCTTACTTCCATATGTACTATGCGTACATCTCTTCTACAGTGTCTTGTCCTCTCTTCCACTTACACCTAAGTGATATCTATTGTCCTAAAGATTCTTTCAAATCTCACACTCTATTATTTCCTCTAGATTCCGTTGGCCCAAGCCCATCTCTCTCTCCTGAAATTGATACCATTGACTCAGAACTGATCTCCTGCAGAACCTGGTATCACCAGCTGTCTTCTCAGATAGGAGGGGAGACATATAACTTACCTCATCAACGAGAGAAAAGACTTTAGAATCAGAAGATACTAGTACCACCACTCATTAACCTTGTGACCATAGTGAAAGGTTACTTAACCCCTTTAAGGCTCAGCTTTCTCATTTGTAATATTGGGGAAATGGGGGCCAGAGCAACAGTACAGTGGGTAAGGTCATGCCTTGTGCATGACCAACCTGAGTTCAACCCCCATAAGCTCCTCCAAGCAGTCAGGAGTGATCCCTGATTTCAGAGCCACGAGTAAGTCCTGAATACTGCCAAACATGGCCCAAAAATTGAGAGGAGAATAATATTTACCCCACATCTAATGACTGACAGTCACTAAAAGACTAACATTCCTTTCTTTTCTCCCCTCTTTGCCCTAAATCCAGAAACACTGGGGCTGAAGAGATAGCATAGGAGTTAAAGGGCTTGCCTGGCCCACGTGTCGCATATAATCCCCGACACCCTACTGGCAATGATCCCTAAACACAGAGCCAGGCACGATCCCTGAGTACTACTAGGTGTGGCCCCGACACAAAACGAAGCAAAAAACAACCCAGAAACATTGCGATTCTCATCTTCTCTAGTTTGTTTTAGTACAATACTGAAAGCCAGGGAAAGCATTTGATTACTGTTTATTGATTGATAATCTGAATCCTTCACTCTACTCAGACTGTTTCCAGGACCAAACCCCAACCTTCCCCTGTCCAGTACGACACTGAGAACTTAAACCTCTTCTCATACTTATAAAATTAAAAAAAGACTAAAATGTTCTGAGACAACAAGGATAATTATTTCTATAGTAGACAACTGAGGCCTGGAGATGTGGTTAGCAGAACCTGCCTTGAATGTATGAGGCTGTCAAGTTCAATCCCCAGCACAGATGCACATCGTGGTGTGAAACCCCCAGTATTGCCATCCCCCACACACCACAACCAAGTGTGAGCCCTCCAGTGCCACTACCACAACAAAAATAGTAGACATCTGGGGCTGGAGCAATAGCACAGCGGGTAGGGTGTTTGCGGCCGACCTGGGTTTGGTTCCCGACGTCCCATATGGTTCCCTGAGCACTGTCAGGAGTAATTCCTGAGTGCAGAACCCTGAGGAGTAACCTCTATGCGTCACCAAGTGTGACCCAAAAAGAAAAAAAAAAGAAAGAAAAGTAGTAGACAACTAAGGACATGTCATGCAAAATATCTCACAAATATAACCATCTACTCACATTTTACCTATGGTTCTAGTTTCAAGAGGAGAACCTCAGCCACATTCTGTTTGGATCCTTATTTAAATTATCTACTAATTTGGGGCCAGAGCAATAGTACAGTGAGTAAGGGTATTTGCTGACCTGGGTTCAATCCTTGGCACCCCATATGGTCCCCATCCTGAGCCCTGCCAGGAGTGATCCCTGAATGCAGAGCCAGGAGTAAGCCTTTAGCACCTCTGGGTATGGCCAAGAAAAATAAAATAAAATAAAAATTAATTATCTACTAACTAGGCAATCCTGCACACAACAATCATGGCTACAGGGACCAGGAACCTACCTGCTGAGTTGACCTATAATTTTCTCTAGAAGGTTGGCTGAAGGGATCTTATTTTCTCTTCTGCTAATCTGTTCACTGCTCTGAGGAAATAGCAAAATCTGATGGACAGGCCACCCCCCCTTCTCAACCCCACCTGCTTATTTTCAGAAGCAGGCAGGCCTACAGCCCAGAGCTGCCCGGGAGATATCAGCTAAAAAGCTCGTGACAGGCTTGAGGATTGGGCCCCAACATCAGCAGCTGACAGAAATGCAGGCTCTCCTTGAAATCAAAGACCGTTTCCCAGTCATCCCAGGGAAATATTGCTTCTCCCGGTTCCCAAGATCACTGGACCTCATCTGATTTCAGACTGAGAGAAGAATGTATGTCACAACTCTTCATCTAAGGGAAGAAAAATTTTTTTTTTGCTTTTTAACATTTAATTTTAATTCTTTCCATTATTCATTGCCTTCTTTTTTTTTTCTTTTTCTTTTCTTTTTTTTTTTCTGTTTCCTTCTCATCACTGATATGCCTCCTTCAGAGAAGTCAGTTATAAGAAGGAGCTGCCCAATATATTTGAAGACTTTGGGGTCTGAGAGATAGTGCAGCAGGTAGGGATCTTGCCTTGCATGTGACTGACATGGGTTCGATGCCCAGAACCCCAATACAGTCCTCTGAACCCCTCCAGGAACTAAAAAAAAAAAATAAATAAAAAGAAAAGGACCTCCAGTCCCTTGTTCCCAGTCTTTAGTTGTGTTTCCTGCAGCACATACTTTTTGTTCTAGGGACTCAATAGACACAAATGTTATAAAGAGATGGGGAGGCAGAAAAATAGATATTTAAGGTTAGAGTGTCTACAGAACCCCCTTTTACTCTAGTAAATGGGACTCGAAGGCAATGACATGGGCATTAAAAAAAAAGAGAGAAGTTTCAGAACTAGGAGAAAAAAAGACCAGGAACAAGAAAGACAAAAGCTCTGAGGGCAGACAAGGTGGGTGGGAATGGAACGAACAAACGTTTTTACAAAAAGTACCTAAGACCTTTCTGACTCAAGAGGGACCTGTTTGCACATAGCTGGCATGTAATTTCCACATGTTAGATGGAAACCTGTAGATATTATCCTAGAGCTTACCACCTCCTCCACAAACGTTTACCCACTCTTTGTAGGGTTTCTCAGGCTCCCACTTATCAACAACGCCCCAGGTTTCCCGGCTCGCTCATCACAAACATTTGTCTTATCAGTGCTCCTCGCTCCACAAAATCAGTCTTTCTGCTCAAAGGTTCTCCCTTACAAGTTCCTACACAGAACATTCTTTTTATGTATTTTTATATTTTATTTATCTATTTTTTATGTTGAATCACCGTGAGCTACAGTTACAAAACTTTCACGTTTGAGTTTCAGTCATACAACGATCAAACACCCATCCCTCCACCAGTGTACATTTTCCACCACCAATGTCCCCAGTATCCCTCCCCCACTACCCCAACCCATCCCACCCCTCCCCCTGCTCTTTGGCAGACAATTTCCCTCTTACTCTCTCTCTCTGTACTTATGGGTATTATTATTTGCAATAGAGGTAGTGAGAGGCCATCATGTTTGGTCCTTTATCTACTTTCAGCACATATCTCCCATTCCGACCGATCCCTCCAACCATCGTTGACTTAATGATCCCTTCTCTATCCCAGCTGCCTTCTGTCCCAGTTCATAAGGCAGGCTTCCAACTGTGGAGCAATCTTCCTGGCCCTAGAGACCAGGACGACAACCCAAGTATTGTCCTTGGGTTTTAGTCTCATACTATGATATTTTATATTCCACAGAACATCCTTTTCATTTATTTGTTTATTTATTTATTTGCTTTTGGGGTCACACCGGCGATACATAGGGTTACTCCTGGCTCATGCACTCAGAAATTACTCTTGGAGGTGCTCGAGGGACCACATGGGATGCTGGGAATCGAACCTGGGTCTCCGCGTGCAAGGCAAACTCCCTACCCGCTGTGCTATTGCTGCAGCCCCAGAACGTCCTTTTTAAGAACAAAAATCTCCAAACTTCCCTTCGCCGCCCCCATACCTTGATATCTGTGTCTGGGGTGACAAACTCCTTCAGGCACTCAATGGGGCCCATAAGAAATGGACAGTGGGAGGAGAAAACCTGAAACAAAGACAAGATTCAATAGTACCGCAGTTCCTCTCTTCTCATTATTATAGACCACAGTGCCTAAAAGGGAAAAAAAGGAAAGGAAAAAGAAAAAAGTGCTTGCTATAGAGTCAGGTTAGGGGGCGGGAGGGAATCTGAGGGCATTGGTGGAGGGAAGTGGACACTGGTTGAAGGGATGGGTGCTGGAACACTGTACACCTAGAGCTCAGTCATGAACTATTTTGTAACGTAGTTCATGGTGATCCAATGGTAGGGCGTTTGCCTTGCATGCGGCTGGCCCAGCCGACCTGAGTTTCATTCCTCCACCCCTCTCGGAGAGCCCAGCAAGGTACAGAGAGTATCTCGCCCGATGGCAAAGCCTGACAAGCTCCCCATGGCCTATTTGATATGCCAAACCAGTAACAACAAAGTCTCACAATGGAGACGTTACTGGGCCCACTCAAGCAAATTGATGAACAACGGGAGGACAGTGCTACAGTGCTATCAATACCACAGGCCAGTAGCCAGTGCCTTCAAAGATAGATGGAAATAGGGGCCAGAGCTATACTTTAGTGAGCAAGGCGTTTCCCTGGCAAACAATTGACCCATGTTCAATCCCTGGCATCCATATGGCTCCTTGAGCATCCGGGGTAATTCCTGAATGCAAAGCCAAGAGTAACCTCTGAGCATCGTTGCGTGTGGTCCAAAAAAAAAAAAATAGGTGTAAATAAACCGGATATGGAGTTCAGCTTAGCATTGCAAGGAGTAATTCCCAAGTGAAGAGCCAGGAGTAACCCCTGAGCAATGCCAGGTATGACCCAAAAAGGGGGGAAAAAAACTCACAAACAACAACAACAAAGAAGCCAGCTTCCTAAGTTGTCCCTCTCCGATGCCTAAAGGTTTTCTCAGTTCATCTTTCCCCAGATATGTATTAAGTTTCTCTCTGCAATGCTCCCCTGCCTTCCACTGTTTCTCATGCAAACACAGAGGTGTCTGTGGTTCTGTGGCAGTTCCTTCTCCCTCAACTTACTTCTCGAAGTCCCTCTTGGGCCATGGCTCTAAAACTGAGAATAACACCAATGATGGTCATGCGCTTCAACACATTATCAGCCCCTAAGGAGCAAGAAGAGAGAGCATTAGAGAAGAGAGGAGAGAGAGAACAATGTTTTTGCTTCTTCAACTCTACCTCCCAGATCTCCACCCCCTCCCCACAGCCCACCAAACCCTCTCATAGCAATGCAGTTCCTTCTCCTTTCAAAGGAAGTGCTTACCTGTCAACTGGGGCAGCAGAGAAGACATCAGGTCTGCCTTGCTGAAGTTAGATCTGATCTGAACAAGCACATCCATGTTTTCTACCACAAGTTTCTGCAGCCAGGACACAGAGACATGAAGAGACCCATGGTATATCTTCCCTCAATCCCCACCTCCACCCCTCTTTCCCCAAGACTTGACCTTCCTAAGGCTCACTCCCACAGTACCTTCAACTCCACAATCTGGGATGTCACATGCCACATCAGGTTTTCACTGAGGAACTTCATGCCGTAGGGACCTAAGAGTTCAGCCAAGGCCCGCATCTCTGCAACAGATTTAGAGAAGTCCCAGCAGGGACTCAGGAGAGTCTCGCTGAACAATGGCAACACCCAGAGGAAAACCTGAACTTCTGAAACGCTTTTCAACAGGAAAAGGAATCACAAAACTGAAAAGCAAAATTGACCCGGAACCCTGCATTCAGATGGCAGATGGCAGGTTGGACTGCCTGCAGGACAATTTTCACCCACACCAAGACTTGCCACAAGTCTGAACTACTGACTTTTTTTAAGGCCTTGTGGTTTACAATACTGTTAATATTAGAGTTTCTTGCGTAAATCATTCCAATACCACAATCTCCACCATTGTCCCGGTGCTCCAAACCGCCCCCGCCACCACCATCGTGAGCGTCCTTCTAAAGACCAGTTCCCAGTTTCTCTTGCCTTTAGGCATTTGTTATTCTCCTACTATACTTCTTCATATCCCACATAGAAGAGACAGGTTAAAGAGACCATATCTGGTTTTCTCTTTCTGACTAACTTCACTCAGCATGGTACTCCCCAAATGCAAGCATGTAGCAGCGAATAGCATGATTTCATATTTTCCTATAGTTGAGGATTATTCTATAGTGTGCAGATGTACCATAGCTTCTTTATCCAGTCATCTGTTCTTAGACACTTGTTTATTTACATATTTTGGTTATTGTGAACAGTGTTGCAATGAACCGAAGAGTGCTAATGTCTTTTTGGAACAGATGTTTATGCCAAGAAGTGGAATTGCTGGCTCATATGGAAGTTCAATTCCTAGTTTTTTTTTGTTTTTTGGTGTTTTTTGTTTGTTTGTTTGCTTGCTTCTTGGGTCACACCTGGGATGCACAGGGGTCACTTCTGGCTCTGCACTCATGAATTGCTCCTGGCAGTGCTTGAGGGACCATATGGGATGTGGGAATCGAACCCGGGTCGGCCGCATGCAAGGCAAACGCCCCACCGGCTGTGTTATCGCTCCAGCCCCGATTCCTAGTTTTTTGAGAAATGTGCGTATTGTTTTCCAAAAAGTCTAGACCAGTCAGCATTACCACCAGCAGTGAATGAAGATCCTTTTTTCTCCATATCTATGCCAGCACTGGTTGTTTTTGTTCTTTGTCATATGTGCCAGTGTGCCAGTCTTACCGGTGTAAGACGATATCTCATTGTTGTTTTGACGTGTATATCCCTAATGACAAGTGGTGCACAGCATTTTTTCATATCTCTTTTGTGCAATTTTTTAAAATTTGTTTTCTAGCATGCTTAAGGTTTACTTCTGGCTAGGACCTCAGGGCTCATTCCTGGTGCTGCTCAGGGGGTTAAATGTGTTGCTCGGGATGTAACCCAGGTTGGTCACATGCAAGGCAAATGCCTACCTGCAATACTATCGTTCCAGTCCCAAATTTCAAGTATTATACCTATGTCTTTTTTTTAATGTCATGGTTATTTTTATAAGGACTCCATTGAATCTGTATAATGCTTTTTTCAATACTGTCATTTTGACCATATTGATCCTTACAATCCATAATAGAGGATGTGTTTTCATTTTCACAGATCCTCTTTTACTTCAGTAGTGTTTAATAACTTTCTTTGTATAAGTCTTCCATTTCTTTTGTTAATCTGATTTGTACGTACTTGATTTTCTTGATTCTACGTACTTGATGTTCTGAGGATCAGTTATAAATTAGGGGTTGGTTTTTTTGTTTCTCTCTCCTATTTTACTATTTGCACATAGAAAAATCCATGAATTCTCATGCATTGATTTTTTAGCCTGACATTCTCCAGTAAATGACTTGAAATTCTTATAGAATCTAGACTTTCCCTTAAACAAGTCACTAACTTCTTCTGAGCCTCAGTTTACTTCTTTATAGGAAATTAATAATTTTTGTCCTGACTACCACCCAGAGTTAGTATTGTAGCACTGTAGCACTGTCCTCCCGTTCATCGATTTGCTCGAGAGGGCACCAGTAACGTCTCCATTGTGAGACTTGTTGTTACTGTTTTTAGCATATCCAATACGTCATGGGTAGCTTGCCAGGCTTTGCTGTGTGGGCAGGATACTCTCGGTAACTTGCCAGGCTCTCCGAGAGGGACAGAGGAATTGTACCCAGGTCGGCTGCGTGCAAGGCAAACGGCCTACCCACTATGCTACTGCTCCAGCCTGCAGAGTTAGTATAGAGCAGATAAATACTACATTATCAAAACCTTATCATCTCATTCCTACTTTGGACAAACTGGCAGGCTACCGAATGTAACCTGCCCACACGGCAGAGTCTGGCAAACTCCCCGTGGCGTACCCAATATGCCAAATACCAGTAACAATGATGGGTCTCATTCTCCTAACTCTGAAAGAGCCTTGAATATGGCACTTTCTAAAAAAATCTCAGGGCTAGGATGAAGGAGACGTTACTGGGACCTGCTCGAGGCAATCTACGAATAACAGGATGGTTGTGATTGTGATTGTGATCAAAACCTTACAAAACTATAAAGATATTTATTAATAATGGATTGCTATGAAGTTTGTGGCACATCATCCTGGTTTAACAGACATAGGGAGTTAACCACTGTGCAATGCACTTAACCAAGTCAAAAGCTGGTAACAAAATGGAGAGGAAATGCCTGACAGCCTCTCACTGTGTCCTAGCAGATACCATAACTATAATCTTGTATAAAGTCCAACTTTTCCTATGTTCCTCCCTCCACTTCCCCTATTTAATATCTCGCTGTTCAAGTTTTCCTCTCCACAAGCTATCTTTCCTTCATTCATAATCAACACACATGCCAGAGTCCCAGGGTTTTTTCCTCCATCTAAATGTGTCTCCCTTCTTGTGTGCTAATTCCTTATCCTCCCTACCAAACCTGCTTCTGGCCCTTTGTGAATTAAAACTTGCCTGGGCAAGTGGCATGTTCAAAACACGAGGGACAAATTTAAGCAAAAAGAGCTCTAGTTGTGATCATTGTCTAAGGGCCAACCCAGTAGAGAGCCATAAAAGACCCGAATTAACAAGACACCCGTAGAAAAAGGACTGGAGTTTAATAGAGTTAGGAACATTTAAAGGGAAAAGGAAATCAAGGCTCCACATTCAAATCTTTGGAGACAGAACCAGTTGATCCCTGACTCTACCAGCAACAGAAATTAGACTGGTTACAGCAGCTAGCAAAGAGCATTCCTTGCCTGGAGTAAATACTAGATATATTTAGAGTCACCTATTTATACAGGAAGGACTAAGCTGAAACCTAGAAAGAGATTTCCTACCTGGTCAAATTAGATAATGTTAAATGGTTCTTTGGAACTGATGGAAAGGAAACACATTGATCTATCAATTTGGGATTGACAAACCTCCTTACGCCAGTCTTCTGTACTCCAGGCTAGTAACCCTAGGGCATCCTTCCCTTTACATCGATCTATTTTTGCAGTAGCATTGTCCCATCACCATGGCAACCCAGGGAAATTGGGGTGGGGTGGTAGAAAGGGGAATCAGCTCTACCTCCCGCTGCTTGTCAGTTGTCAGCAAGACCTAAAGCTGATTTTAGATGCTGCCTACAGATTGTGGGTGGAGTTGACGAGAAGAGGACATCTGAAACCTCGAGCAGGTAAAGATTAGGGTCAGCTTACTGATGGCTCAGTCTAAGGGCAGGGAGGCAGAACTGGAAAACACGCTGTGTACTATGATGCAATACCACCCTTAAGAAAGAAGAGTGGAGAAGGCTGGGTCACTAAAACAACTCCTACCAGTCCCGGATCCCATGCAAGATTCATGATTTATATGGAGATGAGAAGAGGAAGCAGTATGATAGTTCACGGATCAGTTAGCGAATCAAGTGTATCAAAAAATATATCTGTAGGGTTTCAAGCCCCTTTAAAAAAGAGAACAACTTCCCCATTCACTCACTAAGCACCTTTTGCCCACCCCCCTCAAGATGCAAAAGCATTTCTGTACACTGGAAATCAGCACAGGTCGAGATTAAAAGCTGGGTTCTGGGAGACTGCCTTGAATGGAAACCTCAGCTCTACCATTCACAAATGTTTGAACTTTGGCAACTTCCTTTTCCTTCCTGCGTGTTTGTGTTCTCATCTATAAAATGCGGTGTAATAAGATTACGTACTTCAAGGCTGTTGAGAGGGTTAAGTTATTTAATATACGTGAACATTTAGAAATTAGCCCATAATCAATGCCATCCAACATCTGGCTATCATTATGAAACATCGACAATCTAAGAACTGGCTAACGTGTTAACTTTATCCTTAGAGAAGAAAATTCCATAATATCAGACCACTGATTTATAAGTATGAGAATATCCTCCCCATGACCGGGGTGAGAGTATAGTGGGTAGGACATTTACTTTGCATGCAGTTGACCCAGGTTTGATCCCTGGCATCCCATATGGTCCTCCAAGCACTGCCAGGAGTGATTCCTGAGTGCAGAGCCAGGAGTAACCCCTGAGCATTGCGGGGTGTGACCCAAAAAGCAAAGAGAGAGAGAGAGAGAGAGAGAGACTATCCCCCCTTACATATTGTTGTTTATTCTTCACCATATCTTCATTATTTTATTCTATGTAGAAATTTGAAAAAATAACCATTTACTGCCTTTAAAGGAAAGAACACTGGGCTGAAAAGATACAGCAGGTAAGGTGCTTGCCTAAGCATACAGATGACCCAAGCTCAATTGCTGGCATCACACATTTCTGAGCCTACCTGGAGTATTCCTGAGTGAAGAATCAGGAGTAATCTCTGAGAGCAGCTGGCATGCACTCCCACCCCCCCCCCAAAAAAAAAAAAAAAGAAAAATTGTCCAATGGCTTGAGTCCCCTATCTAACTTCTAACTCCTCTCATTTTCCCTCTCTCCACTTCGGCCTCAAAGTCACTCCTAGATTCTGGGTTTCACCCATTGTCTCTTTTATCGTTCCTGCATGGACCCTGGCAAAGATGCTGAGGAGAGTGTAGGATGAGTTTCTGGAAAGGGAGGAGAGTTGAAAGACGGACTGAGATGCTGTATTGGGAGAAAGGATCTGCCTCTTAACCAGCAGGGTTGGCCTCAGGCTCACCAGAGACATCGGAGAACTCTTCTGCGCTGAAGTTCTGCTCCCCTTCTCTTGGGATGCTGACAAAGGCTTGCATGGCCGGGGAGAGGATGATGGTCCCGCCACTCGCCTGCCTAAGCAGACTTTCTAGGTACCTAAAAGGTTGGCCAAGAAAGCACAGAGATGAGTGTTCAATCCTTTCTGCCTCCCACTGCTTCCTACCACCACTGAGCTCAGGAAGAACACCAAAGGCTGGGGTGGGGGAACAAGACTCAAAGAAGACAGTTCAGCACCCTAATTAACACCCTGAGTTGTTGGCTCAGAAACAACTAGCAGTAATGTGATTCTGCTCTGCCTCTAATTTGCAGGGGATTTCACTCCGCAGTCAACCGCAATGGGGCACATTCCCTCCCTGGGTCTCTTCTCTTTTCCAGCTATTGTAATCCCCTCACCTCTGGTCTGTTCTGGAATAAAGAGAAGCCCAAGGCAAGGGGAACGTTCCTAATTGGGGTCCTTTCAAGTGCGCTTAGTCTCAACCTCTCCAACAAGAAGGTTGGACTGAAACGCGTGCTAGGGGGAAAGGGAGCTCAGATAGAGAAGGGAGCACCAAATAAAGGGTGTTGGGAGGATCCTCCCAGGATGGGAGAAGCACGCTGAAAGTAGACTATAGACCAATCATGATTGCCACTCAATGCCTCTCTTGCAAACCACAGCACCCAAAAGGAGAGAGAGAGAACAAAAGGGAACGCCCTGCCACAGAGGCAGGGGGGATGGGGGTGGGGGCTGGGGGTGGGTGGGAGGGATACTGGGATTAGCGGTGGTAGAGAATGGGCACTGGTGGAGGGATGGGTACTTGATCATTGTATAACTGAAACCCAAGCACAAAAATGTGTAAGTCTGTAACTGTACCTCATGGTGTTTCACTAATTAAAAAAAAAAGAGAGAGAATGTTGGACTGAAGACCTAGAAGTGAGTGTCAAGTCAAACCTAGACAGAGAAAAGCCTCCCAAACACTGGCCATCCGGTCTCCAAATTGACTTTGAGTAGTTGAGTCAACTGGCCTCCAGCCAGTGTCAAGACAGCTAACTAACCCTTGCCACATGCCCAGCCGGGCACTCGCTCTGGCCAAGGCCTAACAGAAAGCACAAGCAGCCCCCTGTGAGCCAAATCCTCGCCATCAGACATGACTTGTTTACTCTCGATTTAAACTAGGTCTCCGTTTTTTGAAACAGAGCTAGTATATCTAAAGATAAGGATATGGTGGGGGGCATTATCCGGTGAAACTAATACCATCCCTTTAGAGGCAAATGCTCTCTCCAACTCCTCCAAGTGTCCACATTACCCCATCACCCGTGTTCCTACTCTGGCTGATCCCTGCTGGTGTGTGTCTTTGGAAACCCGGACTCAACTTCTCTCCTACAGCGGACCCCTTTGCGGGGGGGCTTCTTTTGTAGCTGATCTCCTGCTGAGCTGATGTTGGATTAAAAGCGCCACCCAGTGGCACCGGGAGGAAGAACTCCAGCCCTTTCCATCCTTTCCATCTCAAAGGAAGTACTGCTGATTTTTTCTATCTTTGGTGGGGAGAACTTTTGTCACCAAGAACAATCCTTTTGACTTGACATGACCATAACTGTAGATGAAAAAGAATACTGCAGAGAGATGGTGTTGATTATAATGGTTGTCAGAGCAAGAAAATGGACAAAACTAGAGGAAATAAGGGAACGCCAGAAAGAGGGTGAGAAGTTCTTTGAAATTAAAACAGTGAGAACTTTTTAAGTGCTGTCATTGGAGAGTAACAGAGAAGAGATAAAATTGCTGCTGGGTAGATCAACAGATGCTGCATGGAACGTCCAAAGGAACCTCGCAGATGAGAAGAGAAAGCTACATCTGCCCCCGCGACCTGGGCTCAATTCTTTCGCCCCTCTCGGAGAGCCCGGCAAACTACCGAGAGTATCCCGCCCGCACAGCAAAGCCTGGCAAGCTCCCTGTGACGTATTAGATATGCCAAAAACAGTAACAATAAGTCTCACGATGGAGACGTTACTGGTGCTCACTCGAGCAAATTGATGGAAAACGGGAGGCCAGGGCTACAGTGCTATTGCTACAATCCACAGGTAGAAACAAGTTTCTCTGTGTGTGAAGTTGGGGCGGGGGGGGTCAACCACCCCCTAAAAGAAATTCTTGGATTCTGAAGTAGAGCAGTAGGAGAGGACAGGCCACTGACCAATTTGTGTAGATAGTGGTGATGGTCTGTTCCCCACACGAGTCCAGGGGCTGAGTCTGCTGCAGGAGGGCATTGCGGATGACTCTGGAAACATCTACACCCAAGAACTGGGCCAACGACTGTATGAAACTCATGTATGCCTTCACTCCTGCCAGCAGCTCTGAAGGCCGAGCAATCTCCTGGGTTGTAGCATTGTAGCCAGCCAACCACACAATGGCCCTAGATAACAAAAACCATGGTTACAATCAGAATTATAGAACATACGAACAGTCATCCCATTCCTACTGTGGCCAAGGTGTTGTGCTATGATTTTGCTACAGACATTTATTCGTTCATTAAATAACTCTCACAGCAAGCCAAGAAGGTAGGTATCATTATCATTCCCCATCTTCTGCATAAAGAAACAAAGACACAGGGACATAAATCCATTGCTTTCTGTGAAGGCCACATAGCTGGCCGAGCCTGGGTGGATCCAGTAATATTTGTTTCCTAACCACCATGCTCTCCTGCCTCCTCTGGAGAAATTAGGTTAAAAGCTAAAAGAACTGGGCTCCCAAATATCACCTACCTTGACCTGAGGCTGTCTCGATATTCTCACCCTGCATTCTCAGGGCCAGTATTTCTCTTTTTCCCCTTGGAAAGACTGTGTCCCAATTACTGTCAGAAAGGAAAGCCACTCCTAGCAGTCCTCGGAAGTTCAATGAGACCCTAGTGCCATGAGGTGCCAGGCCGAAAAGAGGGCCTACATGATTGGCATGCAGCTATAGCCACCTGTGGGGAGGAGGAATAACTAACAGAGCCAGAGGGATTGTACAGTGGGCAGGGCACTTGCCTTGTACACAGTTGACCCAGGTTTGAGTTTTGGCATTCGGATGGTCCCCAGCACCACTGGGAGTGATTCCTGAGCACAGTACCAGGAGTAACCCCTGGGCATCGCTGGATGTGGCAAAGAGGAAAAAGAAGAAGGAGGAGGAAGAAGAGGAGGGGGAGAAAAAGGAGGAGGAGGAGGAGGAGGAGGAGGAGGAGGAGGAGGAGGAGGAGGAGGAGGAGGAGAAGAAGAAGAAGAAGAAGAAGAAGAAGAAGAAGAAGAAGAAGAAGAAGAAGAGGAGGAGGAGGAGGAGGAGGAGGGAGGAGGAGGAGGAGGAGGAGGAGGAGGAGGAGGAGGAGGAGGAGGAGGGGAAAAGGAGGGGGGAGTTGGAGAGTAAGGGGGTTGATTTTGTTTGTTTTTTTTTAAGCGTTTGTGGTAAGGGAGGACAAGGAAATAGGAGGACCAGCTCACCAGATGAAAAAGAAAAGAGAGGAGAAATAACTTGAAGGGAAATAATACAGAAGGGACAGACTAGAGGTCACGAACAAAGAAGTTCATGAAAAAAGAGACATTCAGGGGAAACAAGAACATCACACCCATGCTTCCCTGGGGCCTCAAAACTATTGACAGCTCCTGAAGGTTTTGCACATGGATGATTACCGAATTACCATCTTCCTGATATTGTGTGTGCATCTGCGATACTTCCTTCCATTTAGCTAATGTGCACAGAATGAAAGCAAACTAATTTTACTGTCACCCAAGCAAAAGCCCAGCTGAAAAATAAATATGCAACGCCAGAGAGGTGGCACAAAGGGCTGGGGCGCAGGATTCACAGGCAGGAGTCCCAGGTTCTATCCCCATCACCACATGGTCTCCAGCCTCATCAGGGGCAATCTGTGAGCATCACCAAGAGCAACCCCCAACACCACCAGGCATGGCTCAAAAACCAAAAACAAAATAAACTCTGAACCTCCTACACACAAAATACAGACTCTGAACTATTCCCCTTGCTGCTGACCTGGGGCACCCAAAATTGACTCGACTGAAATATTGAGTCATAGCTTCTACTGCTCTGTCCAAAGGGCAAGTCTCCATCTCGGAACAAAAGCCAAAGTCCTGAAAACGACATAGAAGCACAAAAATCTCTAGTCTGTCACTCGTTCCAGCCTCTCACCCCACATCCCTCCACTCCTTCGCCGGCTCACTCTGTCTGTTCCAGTAACACTGACCTCCTCAAGTGGTCACTGAGCAGACCAGTAGAGTCCCCACTTCAGAGCCTCTGTACTCGAATGCTTTTCCCTTTATAGTACTTCATGTGGCTTTTTTCTTTCTTTTAGAAATGTATTCAGATGTTACTTTCTCAAGCTGACATTCCATCACCCTACTGACAGCACAATACCAAGACACACACACGTACACATGCACACACACACACACACACACACACACACACACACACACAGTTTCTTTCTCCTTTTCCATTTTGTCTTTCTGCTTAGTACTATCTTGTAGACTGTATATACTTCCTTTGGGGAAGGGAGACACATTCTGCAGTGTTCGGGCTTATTCCTGGTTCCAAGCTCAGGAATCACTCCCAGTGGTGCTCAGAGGCCAGGGATGGAAACCAGGATTGGCTGTGTGTATTTTCTTTTATTTGTTTCTCAATGTCCCTCACTAGAAGGCAAATTTTTATGGATACAGAGGTTTTTATCTGTTTTTCATATCTCTGCTTTAAAAGCTTCTAGAACACTGCAAACAGACAGAGTTCAATCAATTTTTATTGAGTGGATGAGTAAATATACTGAAAAAAACTTAGAATAATAAGAGGTTATTCTAATAATTTTTCCTCTTCCTTGCCCCTCTCGGAGAGCCCGGCAAGCTACCGAGAGTATCTTGCCCGCACGGCAGAGCCTGACAAGCTACCTGTGACGTATTCGATATGCCAATCACAGTCACAATAAATCTCGCAATGGAGATGTTACTGGGTCCGCTCGAGCAAATCGATAAACCACAGGAGGACAGTGCTACAGTGCTATTCTAATAATTTTTCCTCATATCAATTGCCTTAATTGCCAAATTCCAATATAATAAAAGCTCTTCCTACTTTATTGTTTTTGTTTTTTGCTTTCTGGGTCACATCCAGTGATGCACGGGGGTTACTCCTGGTTCATGCATTCAGGAGTTACTCCTGGCCATGCTCAAGGGACCATATGGGATGCTGGGAATCGAACCCAGGTCGGGACACGTGCAAGGCAAACGCCCCACCCACTGTGCTATCACTCCAGCCCCTCTTCCTACTTTAGAGAGGTAAAAGAATGAGAGACACTGTTGAGGGAAAGAAATCTATTTTACTGAGGTCTATTACTTTGGGTTTGTTGTTGTTGTTTGTTTGTTTATTTGTTTGTTTTTGCTTTTGGGTCATACCCGGCAATGCACAGGGGTTACTTCTGGTTTATGCACTCAGGAATTACTCCTAGTGGTGCTCGGGGGACCATATGGGATGCTGGGAATCGAACCTGGGTTGGCCGCATGCAAGGCAAACACCCTACCTGCTGTGCTATCACTCCAGCCCCCTGTTGTTGTTGTTGTTGTTTGTGCTTATGAAGTTACTTCCAGATCAGTGGTCAGGGGACCATGTGGTACCAGGGATCAAACCTGTAACTCCTGAATGCAAAACATACACCTAGCCCTTGAAGTTATGTTTCCAGGTCAGGGACATGGTACTCACCATTGTCTTTGATTCTCTGCCAATTCTAAATCACGGGAAATTCTTGATTATTTTTTACAAAGTAAGTATCAGTATTCTTAATTTAAATTAAGGCTTGAAAAAGTTAGATGCCCTGCTCCAGTGCTGTAGGTAATGCCCAGGACATCAACGCAGATCTGCTGGCGGCAAAGGGCCGTCATTTTCTATTTCTATCTATATTTTCTATAGAAATATAGACGACAAGAAAAGAGAGATACCTGTTGAGTCTGGCCTCCAAATGGCTGCTGAGATACTCGGAAGGGAAGACAGTGTGTTCAAACACAGAGAAGCTCTGTACATGATTCATTGTCAGTGCCAGTTCTGTCAAGTTTAAGTGCAGTTTGTCCATGCTGTGCAAAAAAGAAAACATGAAATGAGCCTTAAGCTTCACTCTGACACCACCTGCCAGTAACTGGGAAGGGTCTGTGGGGCCATGGCTTTCACCCCCATTCGGTCATCTAGAAAATTTTAGTACACATTGATGTTGACTTCAAGAGAGAGCAGAAATGTCATAGGCTTTTTTTCATTATCATGCGGTATCTCACCACCACTTCTGCACTCCTTCTCTGGGTCTTTCCTCTGCCCTCCTCTCCCTTTCTGCAGGGTCCAGTTGGTCCCCTAGGCCCCACATTCTCACTTGGTGACAATGCTGCGGTTCTTCCGATGACTTTCAGCTCCTGGTTTGTCCCTCTCAGGCTCTCCTTTCCTGGGATTCTGCCTCTGCTTCATAGTCTTCTTGTTCTTGGCCTTGCTGATGGTAGTGGCACAATGTTTAGGTAAAAGCTGCAGAAACAGACACAAGCGACGAGAGAAATGAGATTTTTTTGTTCCCCCCAAAATACTGAGTAGGGGCTGGAGCAATAGTACAGCGGGTAGGGTGTTTGTCTTGCATGCGGCCAACCCAGGTTCGATTCCCAGCATCCCATACGGTCCCCTGAGCACTGCCAGGGCTGATTCCTGAGTGCAGAGCCAGGAGTAAACCCTGTGCATCACCATGTGTGACCCAAAAAGCAAAAAACAAAAAACAAAACAAAAAAAAACCCAAAATCCTGAGTAGCCCATCTAATGGTTCTAAAAGGGTCTCTTAAAATTATTTATTCCCTCTGGCCAACGCGGGGCTGCTTCCCCAACAGGTCCGCCAGTGGCCAGTCAGTTTCCCCTTTCATAGTGCATTGCACCCATATCTCAGTCGTCTATCCTGAACTCTTACATAAGGAAGAAATTACAGTCCTAAACATATGCCCACCAAATGAGGGGACAGCAAAATACTTATAACAACTGCTAATAGACTCCAAGGAGGACATTGGTAGCAACACAATAGCAAGTAGGCGCAGACTTCAACACTGCCTTATACCTCTTGATAAATCAAAGAGACTAAAACTCAGCATGACCCTGAAGGAAGACATGGAAGAGAGAGGGCAATTAGATATATACAGGGCTTTTCATCCCTAAAAAGCTGGATACACATTCCCTCCAATGCACATGGAACATTTCTCGCATGCTGGGCCACAAAATATCACTGTCACTGTCACTGTCCTTCCGTTGTTCATCGATTTGCTCGAGTGTGCCCAGTAACATCTCCGCTGTGACAATTGTTACTGTGTTTGGCATATCAAATACGTCACGGGTAGCTTGCCAAGCTTTGCTGTGCAGGCAAGATACTCTCGGTAGCTTGCCAGGCTCCCCACACAGAAATGAAGAACCAAATCAAACACCAGGAAATTAAACAGCTCATTGCTGGGTTAGAGTAGACATCTAAGAAGAAATCAGAAGATTCCTGGAAACAAATGAGAATGAGGACATGAGCTACCAGAACTTATAGAACACAGTTAAAGCAGTATTAAGAGGAAAAATTATAGCTCTGCAAGCATTTATCAGAAAGGAAGAAAAGGCCCACATAAATAGCTTGATTTTACAGTTTAAGATCTTAGAGAATGACCAACAAAAGGAGCCCAAACCAGGCAAGAGGAAAGAAATAATAAAACTTAGAGCAGAAATCAGTTTGCTGGATTCCCGAAAAACAATTCAAAAGTTCAATGAAACAAAGAGCTGGTTCTTTGAAAATAACAAGATTGATAAACCACTAGCAAGACTCACAAAGAGAGAGAGAGAGAGAGAGAGAGAGAAAAAACCCTAATAAACAAAATCAGAAATGAAAAGGAGGATATCACAACAGAAACCACAGAAATTCAAAAGATCATCAGAAATTACTTTGAGAAGTTGTATGCCATGAAATAAGAGAACATCAAAGAAATGGATAAATTCTTTGATTCCTATAACCTCCCAGGGTTGAACCAAGAAGATTTGGAATACCTGAAGAGACCTATCACTATCAAGGAAATGGATACGGTAATCAGAAGTCTTGCGAGAAACAAAAGTCCAGGTCCAGATGGATTCATTAGTGAATTCTTCTAAACCTTTAAAGAGGACCTATTGCCGGTCCTTTTCAAGCTTTTCTAGGAAATTGAAGAAACAGAAACATTACCAAACAGTTTCTATGAGGCACATATCACCCTGATACCGAAAGCAGATAGACACCACAAAAAAAAGAAAATTACAGGTCAATATTCCTGATGAACACAGATGCAAAGATCCTCAACAAAATATTAGCAAAATAGAATCCAACGTCTCCTCACAAGGATCACACACCAAGTGGGATTCATCCCAGTGATGCAAGGATGGTTTAAAATTCGCAAGTCAATCAACATAATCCATCATATCAGTAAAAAAAGATAAAATCAATATGATCATATTAATAAATGCAAAGAATGCATTTGACAAGATCCAGCATCTGTTTCTGATTAAAACTGTCAACAAAATGGAAATTAAAGAAACTTTACTCAAGATAGTCAAAACCATCTACCACAAGTCCATGGGAAGTATTATTCTCAATGGGGAAAAACTAAAAGCCCTCCCTCTAAGATCACAAACAAGACAAGGGTGCCCACTCTCACCACTTGTATTCAATATAGTAATACAAGTACTTGCCATAGCAGTTAGGGAAGAAAAAGACATTAAGGGCATCCAGATAGGGAAAAAAGAAGTCAAGCTCTCACTGTTTGCAGATGGCATGATACTATATTTAGATAACCCTAAAGCCTCTAGTGAAAAACTCCTATAGATTTATAGAGTAGAGTGGCAGGCTACAAAATTAATACACAAAAGTCCCTGATTTTATTGGGTTTTTAAGCCATATTCAGCAGTGCTCAGGGCTTACTCCTGGCTCTGCATTCAAGGATTACTCATGACAGGGTGCCCAAGGACTATATGAGGTACTGGGAATCAAATCTGGGTTAGCTATGTGAAAAGCAAGCACCTTTTCCACTATACTAACTCTCCAGTTCCATTCGCTTTAGGTACTTTTTTTAACTCTTACTGTTTTAAAAAGAGAAAGTCTACTTTGATGGACAAAGGTTGATGTCTCAACCCTGAAATTATACCAAATTGTCTACAGTAGATTCTGAAAGTAGTTGCTCAAAATAGTTTTCCCTCATTAGTAAAAATAACATCACTAGTTATTTATTCATGATGACAATTATGGAAGTATCAATATTCATTTTGTTGTAAAAGTTCTGATATGTGTGAAGATAATCTCTATCATGTTATAATCATCTCTGATACAGCACTGAGAAAACTATCTGTGCCCCTCACATGGAGTAGGAACTCAGATGAAGATATGAATACACCATAACTTGTTTGCATATCTTCCTTTCATTAATTATTTAAATTTCCTAAACATCTATTTGAACTCCTTTTTTCCCTAAAGCCAAGATATTCACCAAAGTCAGAGATTATGTTCTTCCTTCGGAGATTATATCCCAAAATCCACCACAGGGTGTAATACTCAATAAGTACAAATAATATAATAACTAACATCTATTGAAAGTGTAATTTCAAATTTCTAGCATTCTCTATTTTATTTTATTTTTATACCTTTAAAAGAAACCTTTGCCCCATTTTACTTGAGAGAAAATGGAAAGGTTATACAATAACTATGCATGTAGAATGTACACATGTACATAATATGGATCCCCTTCTACTACAGTTGAACAAAGCCTGACTCAATGTTTTGGAGAGATAGCACAGGGGTTAAGGCACCTGCGTTCCATGTGACCAACCCAGGTTCGAGACTAAGTG